ATTCTATTCTATTCTATTCTATTCTATTCTATTCTATTCTATTCTATTCTATTCTATTCTATTCCATTCCATTCCATTCCATTCCATTCCATTCTATTCATTCTTTCCTTATTCTATTCTTTTCTATTCTACTCTACTCTATTCATTCTTTCCTTATTCTATTCTATTCTATTCTATTCTATTCTATTCTATTCTATTCTATTCTATTCTATTCTATTCATTCTTTCTCTACTCTACTCTACTCTACTCTACTCTACTCTACTCTACTCTACTCTACTCTACTCTACTGGAAAAAAAGAAGTCAGCTTAGAGACATGGGCCATACATTCCTTGATGACACCACAAACCAACCAAGACAAGAGGCAATGGATGGAAACTTATCAAGGAGAGATCCAACCTAGAACTAAGGAGAAATTTCTTGATAGTAAGAACAATTAATCAGTGAAACAACTTGCCTCTGGCAGTTGTGGCTGTTCCATCACTGGAGATTTTTAAGAAGAGATTGGACAGCCATTTGCTCAGAATGCTACAGGGTCTCCCGCTTGAGCAAGGGGTTGGACTGGATGACCTCCAAGGTCCCTTCCAACTCTATTCTTCTGTAGTCTGACTCTTTACAGAGCCTGGCTTTGCCACAGAAGGATGGGAGCTGGTCAGACAGCGGTTGAGCCTTTCCTCCATTTTAAGTGGAGTTGAAAGAGCCTGTTAAATTCACCTCAATCTGGCCATGGGTCAGCGGAGCGAGCAACTTCCCAAGCAACAGAACGAAATCTTTATTTAATTTGAACTGGAATTGCTTAGTGAAGTCGCCGAGAGACTTTTGAAAGGAAGTCATTTTAAGGCTGCAAAGATGCCACAATCGCTTCAAACGGAAATTGCTCTAAAGCTGCCTTATACGCAGGGCGCCTGGTTCCACTTTTGCTCCCATTTGTAGCTCCCTGACAGATTTGAAGCTGTCCTGAAAGATGCCAAGTGAAAGCTGGTTCTTATTCTGCTCCTTTTGTGTCTCATATCTCCCACAGGTGTACATTATTTACCAATACAATATCTGTATCTGGCACTCTTTCCACCAGGATAAAATTCACCCCCCCCCCCCATAAAAGTTATCTTGAATATTTTAGCAACAGAAGAACCAAATGAGTTAGACCAAAAAAGGAGTTTCCAAACTCATAATCAGCATAAAGTGACAGCCAACAAGACAAAGGACATTTTTAAAGGAACCGCGACATCAAGAACGAAAGTCACAACACAAAGAAACAGGTAGCGCTGAACCCAGAGTACAAAGGGTAAAAGCTAAAAAAAAAAAAAGGTATTTATTTACCTGTCTGAAGCCATTCCTGGTGTACTGCAGGATTTTCAGAGCATAGTTTGATCGTTGGCCTTTGCTGTTGAACTCTATGTGGCCAGTGAGACCTTCCAATTCTACCTGTCCAAGAGAGGGTGAATTGCAGCGCCAGATAGAAACTCTTGAGTCTGAAGGACAGAGGCCCTACGCTTCTCATGTCAAGCCAGAAAGGAAAACATAATCTCGTGTGTAACACCTTAGATCTTGTACCTATAAGGTCCTACGATCCTACAAGACTGCAATTCTAGGTTTCGACGGTTTCTATAAAAAACTACCGGAAAAAAAAAAATCTGTTGCTGCTCACAGTGGTGAGAAATTTCAAGTCAGGAAGGAAGTTTTTGGACAAGTCACCAATGTGAGCAGCTGAGAGGACAGGAAGTCTAGGACACCTGCATTCTGGGGTGGGCTGCTGGCGGTTCGCAGGGGTTCAGGAGAGCCTCTAGCTAAGATTCTGTGCAGTTTGGAGAACTCCCCAAATCCCACTCCTGGCTGGCCCCACTCATCATGCTCCTCCCCTCCCAGGAGTCCCCACATGGCCCATTTTGGATGCAGGTAAGTGCAGGGCACGCACAGAGACTCGGGGAAGGCAAAAAATGGGCGTCCTGGAAGTTCGGGAAGGCCAGAAACAGATCTGTTTCCAGCTTCCAGAGAGCCATTTTTGCCTTCCTGGAGGTTCAAAAAAAGACTCCGGAGCCCTGGAAGGGTAAATACCTCCCCCTCCCGCAAACATAATGCAGGAGGCTGACTAGGCCACGCCCACCCAGCAACCAGGCAGAGAACCCATTGCCAGAATATTTGAAGCCCACCCCTGCCTGCATCGTCACAAGATGGTGACCAAGCCCCCTTCCTTTCTGGCCTCAACAGCTGGTCTGCCTCTTTCAGTACCTTCTGCAGAGATCTTTGTTCCCATCACGGTAGCTGTGAGTTGCACTGTCAAAAGTGAGTGCTCAATTCAAACACCTTGCCTGGGACTTGAGGGGAAGCCATTACATGGCTGGGTAGCCCAGGTGTCACATTGGGTAATGTGAAAATGAAGCATGAGGGTGCAAAGGTCTGGTAAATACAGATAACCACACTCTGCTAATTGTTGACAAAGCTTTGGATTATTGATTTTCCAGCAATACAGATCCCATGTAGGAGAAAATAGAATCATAGTAATTTCTATTAGAGATTTATTTTTTCCACAGAATGCAAAGTCACAAGTGAGCTTCTGATGGACATGTCAAGTGACTAGTCCATCATCCAAAGCCGAAATAAGAAAGAGTCTCCTTTGTGCAGATGGATACAAGTCATACCCTGTGCCATATTCAGCAGGGCAAACCCCAACCAAGACCCAATGAAGCCAGCACAGAACTTGTATTTACTGACAGACATCCTTTCCAATAAAAGGACATTGTCCCCCCAGCCAAGCAACCATAGATTCAGGTCCACTAGAAATTTGAAAATATCTTAGCTTGCTGCCTATGTGAGATTTGGAGAAGGTCTGCCAAATAGACGATGGATGCATGAGGAACCGTCATTAAAAAAATGCAAACTTACAGTACATTCTTTGAAGGTCTTACTCTCGGGATCAAAGTTGACAAACACCCTAGAACAAGGTATCCAACTGTGGCAACTTTAAGACTTGTGGATTTCAATTCCCAGAATTCCCCAGTGTCAGGTTCCAAGTAATGCAACCACCATAAAATGAACTCCAAGGCATTTCAATTCCTCAAAGAACAAGTTTATTAAGGTACATCATCTTGGCACTAACTAGTGGAAAGCCACTACTGAAAGTTTCCCTGCTTTCCACATCACTATAACTAGGATTTTCTCAATTTTCCAAAACAATATGTCACATTGTCCAACCGGGATGTGAAACGGTTGCCTGGTTGAATTCTCCTTCCTCTGGCCAGACAGCCTTTGGAACATGGCTGACTCATCGCCCAGCTATGTTGTTGTGGCTGGAACTCCATCCACCTCAGGTCTCCTTCCTTTCAGCTCCCAAGTGTGTCAAACTGAATTTATATGTATAACCCAGATGTAAACCAATCCACCATCTAACCAAATTCAGGCTTGACACCCAGCCACTTCAACTTCTGGGAGTTGAAGTCCACAGATCTTAAAGTTGCCAAGGTTGGACATTGCTGCCCTCAAACCTATGTCCAACCGATGGATGTTGTCTTCTTGATCCTTTGTTCCAATTCTTCCACTGAAACCATTAACTATGTGACGGTTCCTTGGCACATGTTCTGCCCCTCCAGTTCTGCCTACCTCTGTGTTAAGGTAGGCACTGCCCATGTTTTTGTCAAGGAAACAGAGATGCAGAAGACGTGCCAGCCATGGCAAGTAAGAGGCAGGGAGACTTACTTCAAGTAAGTAAGGTTAAGCTGATCAGAAGACAAAGAGGGGCTTCCACGGGTTTGAGTAACTTGAGTAACTAATGGTAGGAGGCATCTTCCAGAACGTTGTTCTGACAACTTTAAAATGTTAGACTTCAATGTGCTGGCTAGGGGATTCTGGGAATTGAAGTCCACACATCTCAAAGTTGTTAAGGTTGAGAAACATTGTTCTAGAGCAGAGGTGTCAAACTTAATTTCAGTGAGGGCCGCATCAGGTTGTGTTTGACTATGAGGGGCCAGGATGGGTGGGGCCAGCATGACATCACTCAGGTTGGGGGCGCCTGTGGGGGCCCAAGCTCTCGGTCAGCAAAAATGGGCTACCAAGCTCCGTTTTAGGCTGTGACAGCCTCCTGCAATCCTCTGCCAGCGAAAATGGAACTTGGGTCGCGAGCTCCATTTTCACTTGCAGAGGCATCACGGGCCAGTCCTTTGCTGTTCCCTCTGTGGAGGTGGCCCCACAGGCCAGATCTAAGCACCCCATGGGCTAGATCCAGCCTCCCGGGCCTTGAGTTTGACACCCCTATTCTAGAGGGATATGGAACAAACTGTCATGGGATGATATGGTTACCTTCAGTGGGGATATTTATGCAGATTTCTAGGGGCCCTTCTGATGCTTCCTATGATCTCCTCCTACAACCTTTCTTTAGGGTAAACTTCTAAGCAGGACTCCTGTCTATCTCATGCTGAGAACAGGGGTGAACCCACATTCCCAAATCCTCCGTGCTCAATCCATTCTCACCATTCTGAGGTAGTTCATCAAACTGGTGCCATGTTGCCAGATTTGGGCAGATCCGCAAGACAAGGGTTTTACACCAATTTCCTGGCTCCGGTTCAGCTCTTGTACCGCACTGACCACAGCATAGACTGCATCGAATAATAAGGCAGAAGACAGCTGAAGAAAATGGAAGACAAGGAACAGGGAGAGGAAATGTTATTGGGACCCAACGTCCAGGCTGTTTCCAAAAAAAATAACCTGGCACAGAGCAAAGGACAACTGAACAAGTAAATTCTTGGTTCCAGTCAAGGGGGAATAAAGTTTATGCATTTGATGGAGAAGACCCTGAACGAATAGTAGCAGGTGGTGCTATCTCAGTAATTACAGTTGATTTCTAAAATGTTAATCAGAATTAAACCTTTTTTGGGCTTGGTTGGAAGAATAGAATAGAATAGAATAGAATAGAATCGTAGAGTAGAGTAGAGTAGAGTAGAGTAGAGTAGAGTAGAGTAGAGTAGA